ACCTTGCATTGGCTGCCTGTAACTTCAGGTCAGGTGTTGAGCACCCTGCATATGTTCAGAAGCTTGAACGCAACATTGAAAGATGCTTGTCTCCCATTGGAGACAAATATCAGTTAAAATCTGATAAAAGCTTGAAACCCAGCATGCAGGTAGATGTACACCCTTGGATCTCTTACTGCCATAGGAGATTTTACCTTGGGTTCTTCTGATTTCCTTTTTCTCAGGTGGGGAATTCTGAATAGAAAGACTAGTACAGACAAGGTAGACACAACCAGCTGTGCTGTGTGCTGGGCCTGCAACTACAGCAGTGGTTATTCCAGACCCATACGGAAGCTGGAGAGACTCTGTAATTGCTACTCTGAAATTTTGGTTTTAGTAATTACTTTGTGTAGATCCTTGCTTTCCAAGAAAAAGAAGAGGAAATATTTACTCCTTGCTTAGTGCTGTTAATCTGGAGGTCTGTGAAGGGTTCATTTAGCACCCTAAAATTGACAGCCTATCTCTGTTGAGACATGCAAAAAGAAAAAAAAATCTCAAAGCAATATTATCCAAAACTGTGGTTCTCTGACCAAAGGGCCTGTGAGATGAAGCAAATCCTCAAATTTTAATTCCTCAAAAGGTCACTTGACCAACAGTCAACACTTAAGGGCAGTATTCTGGAAAGCAGAATGGGATCTATTGCCTGCAGACCAGCAAAGGAATTTACCACAGTTCTTTCTGAAAGCAAATGTAATTAAGAAGTCAAGTATCTTTAAAAAATAAGGAGTTAAAATTGTATCGTAATAAGTTTGTTTTCAAGATAACTGTGTCAGTCGTCATTGAATGATTGTAGGTCCTGGAATGGCAGTATCAGGACATGCCTACAAACAGTAGGATACTCAACAGTTGTGCAAACAAAGTTGACCCTGTTACTGGCCAGCAATTATAGTGTGTGATGATGTCACATTGTTTTTGTTTGTTTGTTTTGTTTTCCTGGCTCTGCTGAAGGTCTCTGTACAAGTCTGGAATATCTGTGGTGTTCTAAATAACTGGCAGTGGTTTCTCTGTTTCAGTGAGGAGATGGATCTTTCTGGTTTTCACCATTTTTTTTTCAACTGGTGACATAAAACATCAGATAAAACAATCGCTATTGAAGCTTATTAAAAAAACGTTCCCTTGACTTTGTCTTTTTAGAAGCTGATTGTCAGTCTCACGAGGAACCTAAGATATTTCTGCTCATATGAGGTAACAAGGAAAGATAGTTGTGTTGTTTTACAGGCAGTTGATACTGATACAGTCTTTCCACTAAAACCAAAGGAGTTGTAGAACTGAAGAACGTAAAATTTTCAGTATGCCAGTGTGAGCAATCTGTTAATATTTACCAGACAGCAAAAGTCTATTTCCCTTGCTCCTTGAAATAACAGTTTGTGATGTGGTTTTTTTAGCCCTGTCCCTTGAAAAATAAAACTTTGTGAATTCACAAAGTATTTCATGTCGTGACATAGTTCTGAATATATTAATCCATCTTACCACTACTGATCTTTCAGAGATAAACCAGTTTTTCATAGATTCTTGCTCACCTTATTGATGTCACAGCTTTTTAATGCAACCAAATTAGTATTTGCTCATAAAAACACAGCCCTTGGAGGCTGTTCCGCACACTCAAATTGCGCTGACACCAAGCAGTCCGTTTGCTGAGCTGGGTGGTGAGTGCTGGCAGCAGTTCTTTTCAAATACCATCTTTAGCAGATCCAGAGTCATGTGTGTGGAGATTGGCAGCCTGTGTGAGCAGCTCTGCCTGAAGGAGCTGGCACCCTGAGTGCCTGTTCCATGGGATCAGAACGAGTCCCTAAAGAGCCAGGTGCCAGGACAGCAGCACGTGTGCCTCCCCCAAGGGCTGTGCAAACCCCCCACCCAGGATGGGCTGTGGGCTGCTTGTCTGAACAAAGCTGCAGTGTTGCAAGGTCAGCCTTTTTGATCCCACAATGACTTAAAAAAACATAAAATGGCAGTCATCAGAGACCAGCTGTACCTGAGTACCTCCAGTACAGAGCAGTATTAAAGCCCCTTGAAATATTAAAATGCACATACCTAAGAACAGAGTTTGAAAAATTAACATTCAAAGCTAGTGTCCCTGAGAACCAACATGGGTAAATATTAGTAGATATTAGTAAACTGTCAGTAAATATTTAAATATTATGTATTATAAATGGTAGGCCCTGATAGGCAAGTTT